ATTGTTGGGGAAGGGGGGGGGGGGAATTCTAAACAATAATAGTGCATCTTTTGTCTAAATAATGAATGCAAACAATGTAGAGAAGAGTTAAGTAGAAATTATCTGCCTCACAGGTATTGGGAGGGATGAGAGGGGGGTATATTGGGGTTCTTGGTGGTGAAAAATGAGTACTAGTAAAGGGAAAGGTGTTTGATCATTGTATGACTGAGACAAAACCTGAAAGCTTTGTAATTTTTCTCACAGTGATTCAACAAATAAATATAAGAAAAAAAATTCAGTAGATAAAATAAAAAACTCAACAGATGCCCTCAACAGTAGAATGACAAGAGTCGAAGACAGAAACAGTGAGCTTGTGGATGAGCTGCAAAAAAACCTCCAGGCAACAAGAGAAGATGGAAAAGAGCTCAAAGTAGCTCATTGGTGGGCAAGAGAACTATGGGATGAATTCAGGAGGAACAATATAAGAAGGAGAGAGGGAGGCAACCCCAATGAGGTAGTAACAATGAAAGATATCACTAATGAAAAGTTCCCAGAGCTGGAGAATGGAGGCATCCATATCCAAGAAACCAGAGGGGTATCAGCTAAAAGAGACCCTAATAAAAAGACTCCAAAGATATACTAATCAGAACAATGGATATAATAGAGATACAATACTGAGACCAGTAAGATCAAAGAAGGAAACCGCATACAAAGGAATATCCCTTAGATTTACAGCAAACTTATCAGACAAAACCTTCGGGCTGTCACATGCTAGGGGAGAAGGGAGCTCGGATAGAGAAGGGAGCACCAAATAAAGGGTGTTGGGAGGATCCTCCCATGATGGGCGAAGTATGCTGAAAGTAGACTATAGACCAAACATGATTGCCACTCAATGCCTCTTTTGCAAACTACAACACCCAAAAGGAGAGAGAGAACAAAAGGGAATGCCCTGCCACAGAGGCAGGGTGGGCTGGGGGGGTGGGTGGGAGGGATACTGGGACCCGTGGTGATGGAAAATGGGCACTGGTGGAGAGATGGGTACTTGATCATTGTATAACTGAAACCCAAGCACAAAAATTTGTAAGTCTACAACTGTACCTCATGGTGTTTCACTAATAAAAATTAAAAAAAAAAACCTTTGGGCTGAGATAGTGGTGGGATACAGTGAAAAAGCTCAATGAAACGAAGGTCTCAGCAAGAATACTCTACCCAGCTAGACTCTCTTTCAGATTTGAAGAAATGATATACAACGTCATGGTTAAGCAACGGCTCAGGCATTTGCTAGACTTAAAACCAACTATAAAGAAGGACTGAATGGTTACTGTAAGACAAGAAAAACCCCACAGCAAAACAAACGTCTACAGGAAGATAACACAAAACCCCATAATAACAATCTCTCTCAATGTCAATGCTCTAAATATACCAATTGTGAGACACCAAGTGGCAAAATAGATTAAAAACCTGAATCCAACATTCTGCTGCATATAAGAAACACTTATGAACAGACAGAGCAACACAGACTCAAAAAGAAAGTTTGGAAAACAATTCTTCAAGCAAATAACTACATCAAAGAGACAGGAAAGGCCATAGTAATATCCAATGACATAAATTTCAGGCTGAAAAGACATTGAAGTCCATTTCTTAATAATCCAGGGAAATGCAAATCAGGATGAAATTACACTCTTAAACACATATGTACCCAATGAGGGCCTAGCGAAATGCTTAAAACAACTGTTAACAGACTTCAAAGAGGACATTGGTAGCAACACATCTAGTAGCTGAAATTTCAACCCCAACTTGTCACCTCTTGATAGATCTACAAGACTAAAACATAGCAAGGAAATACTTTCTTGGAAGGAAGAAATGGAAGAGAGAGTGCTAGTATCCATACACAGGACTTTTCATTCCCCAAAAGCTGAATATGCACATTCTTTTCCTGTGCACATGGAACATTCTACAAGATAGACCACATGCTGGGTCACAAAACATACCTCTATAAAATCAAGAAGATAGAAATTGTACCAACTATCTTTTCAGACCATGTTGCACTGAAAATTGAAGTTAATCAGACACAGAATCAGAAAAGCAAATCAAACACCTGGAAATTAAACAGCTCAATAATGACCAAGCAGTGAGTTGCACCGTAGCACTGTCCTCCCGTTGTTCATCGATTTGTTCTAGCGGACACCAGTAACGTCTCCACTGTAAGACTTGTTGTTACTGTTTTTGGCAAATCAAAAACTCCACAGGGAGCTTGCGAAGCTCTGCTATGCAGGCGGGATACTCTCGGTAGCTTGCCAGGCTCTCCAAGGAATCAAACCCGGGTCGGCTGCGTGCAAGGCAAACGCCCTACCCGCTGTGCGATAGCTCAAGCCCAACCACTGAGTTAGAGAGGAAATCAAAGAAGAAATAAAAAGATTCTAGGAAACCAATGAGAAAGGAAGACACTGGCTACCAGAACTTGTGGCAGACAACAAAGAAGGGTTAAGAGGAAAAGCTTTTGCAAGTGTTCGTCAGGAAAGAAGAAAGGGTCAAAATAAAGTTTGACTTTCACAGCTTAAGATCTTACAAATTGACCAACTAAAGGAGCCCAAACCAGGCCAGAGTTAGGGAAGAAAAAGATATTAAGTGCATCCAGATAGAAAAGGATAAAATCAAGCTCTCTCTACTAAAAGGCTCCTAGAAACAATAGATTTGCACACCACAAAGACTGGCACACATCCAAAAGAACAAAATCAACCAGTGCTGGCATGGATGTGGGGAAAAAGTAACTCTCCTTCATTGTTGGTGGGAAGGCCAACTGGTCCAGTCTTTTTGGAAAATGATATGGACTTCCTCAAAAAACCAGAGCTCCCATTTGACCCAGCAATACCATACCACTTCTTGGAATATACCCTGGGGGCCCAAAAACACACAGCAAAATGCCATGTGCATCTGTATTTTTATGTTAATCGCAGCCCTATGCACAACAGTCAGAATCTGGAAACAACCTGAGTGCCTTAGCACAGACAACTGGATAAAGAAACTACGGTATATCCACACAGCAGAGTACTACGCAGCTGTTAGGAAAAATGAAGCCAGGAAATTTTCTTATAAATGGATGGACATGGAGAGTATCATGCTGAGTGAAATGAGTCAGAAAGAGAGGGACAGATATAGAATGATTGCACTCATTTGTGGGACATGAAAAAAAAAATAGCATGAGACTAATATCTAAGACCAGGGAAAACAGGAACCAGGAGGAATGGTCCGTGGTTGGAAGGTCCTACAACTGTGCTGTGGGCAGAGAGGGCAGTTAGGATCAGGAAGGGACCAGTATACAATAATAGACAAGAACTGAGTGTTGAAAGTAGGTGAAGGGATAGATGTGATAATCTGTATCGTGAACCAAAGTCAAAATGCCCAAAAAGAGAGAGAGAGATGGGGGTGGAGGGGGTGAGAGAAAGAGAGAGGAGGGAGAGGGAGGGGGTGGAGAGAGAGAAAGAGGGAGGGAGGGAGGGAGGGAGGGAGGGAGGGAGGGAGGGAGGGAGGGAGAGTGGTAAAAAGAGAGGAGGAGAGGGAGAGAAAGAGAGAAAAAAAGTTCCTGCCACAGAGGTGGTAGGGCTTGGGGGTTGGGCAGGAGACTGGGAACACTGGTGGTGAAATGGACATTTAGTGAAGTTAGAGGTGTCGGAACATGATAAGGCTGAAATCCAATTATCAACAACTCTGTAACTATGATTCAATTAAAAAAAAATTTAGAAAGAACCGCGAGTGTCCTATAACTAAACTCAACTAGAACTACTCTTTTCTACGTAAGCATCCGTAGAGGCTTTTCTCCTCCAATATCACAATCTGAAGAGTTGAACTGAAGGCGAGACACTTGCATTGTCAACCACAAAACTTAATGTGGAGAAGGCAAGTGGGTGCCTGAGACAGTAAGAGCTAAAAACACTTCTTAAAGAATCAAGCTCTGCTAATCTCTTTGGCCTACAACTTCTGCAGCTAATTAAACATAAAAAACACACCTTTGGGGAGGCTGGAGTGATAGTACAGTGGGTAAGGCGCTTGCCACACACTCGGCCGACCCGGGTCCGATTCCCAGCATCCCACATGGTCCCCCAAGCACCGCCAGGAGTAATTCCTGAATGCAAGCCAGAAGTAACCGAAGTAACCCCTGTGCATCACCGGGTATGACCCAAAAAGCAAAAAATTTAAATAAATAAAAATTTTAAAAAAACACTCCTTTGGAAAAACAAATCTCACAATTCTGCTAAAGTTCAAAATTAGCAAACTGCATTCAATAATATTTCAAAGCCCAGATTGAAGCTTACAAAACTCAAAGAATACTGTGAATAGTTAATGCGACATCTCTTTAAATAAACTTCGCAGAAATACCAATTCTATGAAATGATCCTTTTATAACAACTTTTAGCATCTCTGGAGATTTTAGTAAACCAGTAATATGTTTTCTTTTTTAATTTTTGAAATATGTCATCCTGTAGCTATCTTATTACTGGAAGATGGGAGAAGTAAGCCTTAAGTGGATGTTTTTCTGTCATCACTGCCAAAAAATATCTATGCTTGAATAAGCACTTGTTGAGTTATTGGGATTAATAGTCACCTAGAAGTTCTGATACACTGTAATTTTATACTATAATTCTATCCTTGGGGGAGGGAGGCCCATGCTGTAGAAATTATATATATAAATAACTTATATATATTTAATTTTATGTATGTAATTTATATATTCTACATAATATATAATTATATAAACACATGTATAATCTATATATTATATTTAATTAGATTTATTGATTTTATTACTTTTATTAAATTGATATATAATCTGTATTGTATATAATTTATATATATGCACAGGTTAACCAAGAAACAGTAAAGGAGTCTTCTGACAATTCAAAAGCTAATCACCATATTGTGAATTCTTCTTATACAACAGTTATTATCTGGGATATTTTATTGTCACGTTAGTCCCAAATGGAGTGAGAAAGCCAAGAAACATAAACACTAATTAAGGCTACCTTTCTTCCAAAGATGACGGAAACATGTGTTCAAAGGCTGGTTCAGAACCACAAGGCAGTACTTCAAAGTCCCTGAAGGGGGAAAAAAAATGAAATACCATAAATACATGAACTGAATCTTTTGTTTGCATCCTAGTTTGTTTGCATCTCAAATGAGAAACTGGGAGTCCAGGGCTATGCAGTTACCCAACCTATGCAGAGCGACAGCTCCATCAGTGCTGATTTCCTCGGTCTTTAGTTTAAAAGGCACCACAGATTAAGTGGTCTCCTTAATTCAATACATTGATCACATTTCTCTCTTGATAGGAATTTGTTATAAAAAGAAGGCGCCGTAAGGACAAATGAGCTTCTTTCTGTAGCTTCGTATAATAAGCTTTAATCAGTATGGCAAACAGAAATAGTCTTAATATGAATTCTCAGCCCTATGAAATACCCATCAGTTTCACCTAGCAACCCTCCAACCCCGCTGGTCTGATGCCATCCTGATATTAGATTCCCAGAGGGTGAGCATTTTCACGCTGATTCTCCTCTTTTCTTCCTATTTTCTCTTTCACAGTTTCTCTCCCTCCATGCCTTCTGCTCTCTCCAACTCCCAATGCACCCGGGTGCTCACACAAAAGCCCACCAGCCCTTTGTGACTCATATTCCAGGCTGGGAGAGGACTCTCGAAAGTCTAAGAAACCTGGGGAAAAATTATTTCTCCAACAATGATTTCTCCCACGATGAGACTGAGACGTTTTAAACCACACAAAGCAACACACTGGCAGATGGCTGAAAACCTGTCGTTAAGCACTGCCGTTTATTTACCCAAAAAAAAAGTGATAAGAAAAATTAATTGCTTTTCTTTTTTAAGGCAATCTTGGTGCTAGAAATAGAGCAAGATAAGGAAATGAAAAGAAGATCTGTCATTTACTGCAAATATTATTATATATGCATTGGACCTACACCAAGGAAAGAGGCTGCAAAGCATCTTTGAGATCAGAAATTGATCAAAAAGAGGGGGCGGAGCTATAGTACAGTGGGTAGGGCATTTGCCTTGCACACAGGTAACCCAGTTTGATCCCCGACATCCCATCCGGTCCCCCAGTACCACCAAGAGTAATACCTGAGTACAAAAAGAGGGTGTACCCCACAAGCAACCCCATTTCAGAGCTCAAAGTAAGGGGTGTGGCAGGAGTTTGAAGCTTAGGTAGACTCCTAGAAATTGCTGTGAAACGCGGATCACTGTCACTGTCCTCCCGTTGTTCATCGATTTGCTCCAGTGGGCCCAGTAACGTCTCCATTGTGAGACTTGTTGTTACTGGGTTTGGCATATTGAATACATCACGGGTAGCTTGCAAGGCCTTGCGTTGGGGGCAAGATACTCTCGGTAGCTTGCCAGGCTCTCTGAGAGGGGCAGAGGAATCGAAGCCGGCTCAGCCAGGCTGGCTGTGCGCAAGGCAAACACCCTACCGCTATGTTATCGCTCCAGGCCGAAATGCGGATATTGGAAGTCAAATAAAAAAGGAGTTGGAGAAGATCTTTCTAGAAAGGGCATTCCAGCTACAGAAAATCACACAGAAGCAGCTGCAGTTCTTGGTCCGGAAGGCAAAGCAGGCAGGGAGAGCTGCCCGGACAGTGTGAACTCAGGCACCATGTCATCACAGATTCTGGACATGCACAGTTTAAGATGTCGTCGGGCTGGAGGCTGCAAAGCTCAGAGAGTTGCAGGGCAGGAATGAATAGGAAAAGCAAGGTCTGCCCATTTCTGAATTGTCCTTAGAAAAGTTCATCACAGAACAGAGCATCTTGCTCCCCATTCTAGAGGGGAAGCGAGGCGACGAAGAAAACTTAAAAAGAAAAGGCAGGAAGGGAAAGGAAGCGTGAGGATGCCTAGAAGAACATGCTGTCAATACCGCAGCATGCCAGAGAGATGTCAGGGAGATTCATTCAATGGCCAGAAGAGGCCCAGGAAGGGGCGAAAATCAAAGAAAATTGGAAAATTCACAGAGGGCGCCTCCAGAGAGTTCAAGAGGCCAAGGAATTAGCAAAAGAGAGTAAAGCTGGGACGTCTTAAAGGAGGCTTGATCTGTGAAAAGTGTGGGGGGGGAGAGGGGGATGGAGCGGGGGAGGAACTTGTTCAATATACAAGATGCAGAAGGAATTCATTCCAACTACTCACTTAACAGGTGGTCACAGAACACAAAGTCCTTTTGCTCTGCTACTACTGAGAAAAGCAGGTCCACACACCCCACCCAGCTAATCCCCCTGGCTCAGAGAGGAGGTTCCCCCTTGGTCAAGCTAATTCCCCTTGTTAAGGGGAGAGGGATAGGGTTGATTTAAGAAAGTAAAAGAAAAGGGGAAGTGGGAAACTTTCGTGGAACGTAGGGGAATGTCAAAGAACTACATAGCAAACTAATTACTGGCACTGAGACTTCACAATTTATTTTCAGTAAAGCCACCACCATGCTGAGACCACTCTCCACACACATGAAGGTACTGGCAGAGGGACAAAGCCACGCGGGTTCTGGGGCCGAGATCTCCAAGCCTACTCGGATTGGAGTCGAGCATCCTCCACCCAGATCCTCCAAATTCCAGTAGGCGGGGGTCACACCCACCACCTGGCCCCCTGGCGCCGTGTAATCCCATCAGCGGCCAAGACTCAGAGACTATAAAATCCAGATCCCGGACGAGAACAGTGCAGTCTTCTGCCCCCGCGCCTGGGTGTTCCTTCCCGGGGCCCCTTGGAGGGGAGCGGGTTGAGCTTTCCTCCCCACCCCAACCAGGGCTCCGGCAGCTGAAGACCTCCAGGACCAGCCACCACCATGCTGAGACCACTCTCCGCACACATGAAGGTACTGGCAGAGGGACAAATCCACGCGGGTTCCGGGGCCAAGATCTCCAAGCCTACTCGGATTGAGGTCGAGCATCCTCCACCCAGATCCTCCAAATTCCAGTAGGCGGGGGTCACACCCACCACCTGGCCCCCTGGCGCCGTGTAATCCCATCAGCGGCCAAGACTCAGAGACTATAAAATCCAGCTCCCGGACGAGACCAGTGCAGTCTCCTGCCCCTGCGCCTGGCTGTTCCTCGCCGGGGTCCCTTGGAGGGGAGCGGGTTGAGCTTTCCTCCCCACCCCGACCAGGGCTCTGGCAGCCGAAGACCTCCAGGACCAGCCACCACCATGCTGAGACCACTCTCCACACACATGAAGGTACTGGCAGAGGGACAAAGCCACGCGGGTTCTGGGGCCAAGATCTCCAAGCCTACTCAGATTGGGGCCGAGCATCCTCCACCCAGATCCTCCAAATTCCAGTAGGCGGGGGTCACACCCACCACCTGGACCCCTGGCGCCGTGTAATCCCATCAACCGCCAAGACTCAGAGACTATAAAATCCAGCTCCTGGAACCGCGCGGTCGCGAATGCATCTTTTTATGATGTCTTATTATCTCATTCCTACTTTGGACAAACTGGCAGGTTACTGAATGTAGCCTGCCCACACGGCAGAGTCTGGCAAACTCCCCGTGGTGTACCAAATATGCCAAATACCAGTAACAATGATGGGTCTCATTCTCCTAAAGAGCCTTGAATATAATCTCAGGGCTAGGATGAAAGAGACGTTACTGGGGCCTGCTCAAGGCAATCGATGAATAACAGGATGATGAATGAATGAATGAATGAATGAAAGCACTCTGATGGACAAACACTTGAGTTTTCAAGCAGGCAATGTTCCAGCACAGATCCACGACCCTCTATCAATGTGTCAACTTCCCTCCATCAAAGTCCCATCACTCCCTCCCACAACCCAACTGGCTTCCTGGACAGGCAGTTTTTTTTCATCTGCTGGTTGTCATTTGGATCTTCTGCTTACAGTGTCACTAGCTCTGGGGATGAGACTCATACATACAGTTCACGGCTACACCACTGATGGTCCGAGACCCTCACCCTCATCCGTTACCTCCCACACACCTCTTCTTACTTCCTCTTCCATTTTTTTCCTTCTCTGCCCTTCCCATTTCTGTCATCTACAGTCAAGGGGAATATAGGTATCCCTCCCTCCATCTCACTGCCTTGAGTTCCCTGGTCCTATTATTATACGCACCATAACTTAGATCACCCAATTGTGTCCTTCTTCATCTGACTTACTTCACTTAATACAATTATCCTCTAGTTCTACCCACGATGCCACAAACTGCATGATTTCATTATATGTATAATACATATGTATATGTATAATGAAGATAAAAAAAGGCCCTCCCGTTGATCGTCGATTTGCTCGAGCGGACCCAGTAACATCTCCATTGGAGACTTTGTTGTTACTGTTTCTGGCATATCGAATACTCTCGGTAGCTTGCCGGGCTCTCCGAGAGGGGCAGAGGAATAGAACTCGGGTCGACCATGTTGGCCGCTTGTAAGGCGAACGCCCTACCCGCTGTGCTATCGCTCCAGCCCTGATAAGATAATGAAGATAGATATAGATATATCTGTATGTCCCACATATAATGAAGGTGAGGCATATATGCCATACCTTCATTTGCCAAAAAAAAAAAAAGAAAAACCAAGCCAAAACTAAAATACACCCAACTGAATGGGAGAAAATACCTGTAACCAACACATCAGATATTCAAGCTATATAAAATAGTCCGAAAAATTACCGTGAAATGTTTTCAAAAATTCTATCTAAGAAATGGAAAGAAGAAATGAACAGACAATTCTCTAAAGAGATGATGACCATTAGACATGAAAAACTGTTCATCATCATTTAATATCAGGAAAATCAGGTAACAATGAGATATCATCTCACACCAGTCATAGTAACACAGACAGGGGAAATAACACACCTGGAAACAACCTGTGTTGGTTGGAATTTGGTGAAAGAAAAAGAAAAAAACTCTCATCCACTGCTGGTGGGAGTGTTGTCTGGTTCTTCTCCTTTGGAAAGCAGGATGGCTAGTTCTCAGAAAAGGAAGACTCGAGCTGTAAAGACTCAGCACTTCCACCCCTTGGTACCTTCACCCAGCATACCAAAAGGGCCTACGCACAACAGTGTCCACTTCAGCACTAAACACAGTAACTAGGATATGGGACTAGC